TTACTTTCTGAGCAGGCAGCTTCTTCCACAAACTAATTTGCTAATTTCTAACCCTGGGCTATACGTGAAGGCATAGATTCTCTGAGTATTACACAGTGAATATATAGCTTTGGATTGGACCAAGTGAAGCTATTGGTCTGTGCGTAATATTCAAGATGAGAGAGTTAATGCACCAGTGGAAGCAGTTGGTGGCTGTCACCCATCTCCAGGTTGGATAATTACAGCATGGGTGCAGTGATGGCTGACAGTCATGGTCTCACTGGGACTTGTGGCCCATCATGGCCCCATACAGTGAAGGCCCTGAAATTTAGAGGTATGGGGAAATCCTCCTAGAGGACAGACCTGATTGTTCTCTTTGTTTGGGAAGGGACACACACAGGTATACATTTACCACATTTCACAGGTGGTGGCCCAAACTTTCCAGTATTCATGGATTTTGAAAGAAAAATCAGAAATGGATAACATAGAGGTCTGGAGTGGAGATCTACATAGAACTCTGCTGGAAAGGGCACAGAATAAAAGGATATTTGTTCCATGTAAGTACACACCTTGGGTATGCACTGTGTAGGATCCAGGCAATTACTAGTGGACAAGGTGACCTCTCCTGTGGAGAGCAGATATGGCAGTGCTTACTCAAGAAGTTGTGGAAGTAGGAGGGGCGACCTACAGGCTCAACAACATGGACATCATCCTTCTTGAGTCAGTCTTGGTTCCACCATTGCTGAGGGCCCAACCTGCCAAAAGAAAGGCCAGCACTGAGTGCCAGTACTAAAGGATGCTGTTTTCTGGTGGTGGGAAGAGGGTAGTACTGCCAGAAGCCTAATGGCAAGCGAATTCCTCATGCAACCATTTCTCATTAATGATCAAGTTCCATCCTGTAACTAGGTTGTTAAATGAATCGCTTGATAGATGAGGAATTGTGTGCAGTATGCACATGACAATATTCAGAACAAAGAAATGGTCAAAGGAAGCTCCAACTTGATAATTTTGCTTTTATTTGCATAACACACACAGTACTGCTGTAAAGTATAAAACTATAGTACTATACTGTACAGTACAATCAACAAAAATTATAATACTGTATAAACAATATATACTGACAAAAGAGACATTGAGACTGTGTAAACAAGATGCACAGAACTGTACCAAAAACAAAGCAAAACAAAATAAAACACGTAAGTCTTAGCAGCCATTGAACAAGTAATTCAAATGAGGAATATATTCATCACATCGGGATTGATTTCTATAGTTAAAAGCCATCTTTTCTGGAATGGTTTTACCTTTATTAGTCCATTTGCTGTTGCTAATAACACATTGCAATAGACTGGGTGGTTTATAAAGAAAATAAGTTTCTTAGGGTTCACAGTTCTGAAGGTGCAAGTCTAAGGGTCAACGACTGACCTGGTCTCACTGGCAGAGTTACAATTTGGACCAGGGCATCACAAGAGGCAGCGAGCATGCATGTGTGTCTCTTCGGTTCTTACTCTCTTCCTGCAAAGCCACCAGAATCATGAGGACTCCACTCTAATGAGTTTATCTAACCCTAATCATCCCTGGAAGACCCCATTTCTAAATACCATAGTCAGTTTAAATTTCCACCCTTTTAATACTTCACAATGGGATTAAATTTCAACACTTTAAGCCTGGAGGGACACCGTAACCACACTACAGCACCTTCCTTGACTGAAATGTATTTGTGGGATTCAGGTATGCCAAAGCCATGGTTCTGTTTCCCTATGTAAGTAAGGGAGCTCTTCTTCCCACAAAGGCAGATCTGCAGTGTTGGGCTCATTGATCCTTGCCATGTGCCCCATCAGGTGTCCTGAAAGAGCAGAGGAACAGTTCATGTTGGCTAAGAAGTGCCAGCTTAGGAAGTAAGGGTGCTATCTACAGGATGGGCTATGTAGCTGAGCTCTGCAGGCTGAGTGGTTCCATCACACAGGAAGTTAAGATCACCTGAGTGTCTTGACCTCCTTGTGTCCCACAGGCCAGATGGGGGTATTCCAATGGTTAGGTAGATTAATCCAACTTCAGAGAGGCAATTGGGTTGCTACTTCTCTGTGGGAACAGGGAGGGATATGCATGGGAATAGGGAATCACCTGTACGAAGGATGGTATTCCACATGCTACAGTGCAGGTCATTGCAAGATTTTAGCAGCCCAACAGAGACAAGATCACAAAGGTCTAAGAAACTGCAGACATGAAGGTGTGGGTCATCCTCCAGGGAAAGAATCCTGACTAGTATAAGTATAGGCTGAAGGAAGGAGGAAATAGAATGGATGAAAGAAAAAGAGAGTGATAAATACAGCAGGTGCCCTGAAGAAGGGAGAGGGGAGAGTGTCTGTCCCTGGCCAGCAGGGATGGGGAAAGTGACTTCATCTGTGTGGCAGCTCCCTCAGGTCATGAAAGTTACACTCAGGTGAGGGAAGGACTGGCCTTAAGGAGTTAAGGGGGTCACCAGGCTGCTCCTGTTTACTGTCACTTTGGCGTTCTGCCTTTCTGACTCTGCTTTGTGCACCCAAGGCCACCTTTCAGGGTATATTTCCCAGGCTCCCAGAGGCATTTGGCTCTGGCTGATAGCAGTTAACAGGATGCACTGGGCAGGATACTGGGAAAGATCAAGGAGAAGCCGCAGTGAGCTGCCCTCCACTCTGTCTCAAGTGGCACATGTGTGGCGCCTCCCTGGTCCTGCCTTGTTGGCACTGGAAAGGCTGCTGTGACTCTGGTTTGGCCCTTCACTCCACCTCCCTTCCCTCTGCCCCCTCCCACTGCCCACAGCTGCAGTGTCCTCTGCCTGCTTTCCTGATCCCTGAATGGCATTTTTAGCTCTGCCATCACAGCTCTTTTAAATACATAGTATGGGCCAGGCGCATGCCTGTAATCCCAGTACTCAGGAGGCTGATGCAGGAGGATCATTGCGAGTTTGAAGCCAGACTGCATTATAATTAGTTCAAGGCCAGTTTCAACTACATGGCAAGACCCTGTCTCAAAAAAAAACCAAAAAAACAAAAAAATTGCATGGTTTTTGGTTTCCTCACCCACCCCTGACTCATAGTAGGTGCTATAACTTGATTCTGCAGTGGAGGAAATGTACATTGGGTCACATAGCTAATGAGCGACTCCAGAAAGGGCAAGTCCAAGCTGCAGGGCACAGGCCCCAGCTTGCACCATCCTGCAGGCCAGACTGCCTTCAAGGTCAGCGAAATCAAATCCCTGGGGGTACTCCATGACACTAGAGCTCCAAATGTGTTGGTTTAGATACTTAGCCTCATTTTAAAAACTCACATTGAGCTGGGTGTGGTGGTGCACACCCATAATTCCAGTACTGGGCTGCCTGAGGCAGGAGGATCATCATGAGCTCAAAGCCAGCCTAAATTGCATAGTGAGACACTTCCCCGCAATAAGAAAGAAAATTAAAAATTAAAAAAAGCCAGGCCTGGTTGCACACACCTGTAATCACAGCACTGGGAAGGCTGAGGCAGGGGGATCACTGTAAATTTGAGGTCAACCTGATTTGAGCAGCTCTGCTCTACATTCACTAAGAAACTGATGTGGGTGGAGAAGCAAAGTGAGATGAACTAAGAGAGGCACATTGACTGTGAGCCAAGAGTCCTCGACAAGACCCAAAGTTCTCCTAACCGGCTCACATTGTCAGCATCGCAGCCTTCCCCATCAGTGAAACTCTCAAAACCAGCATTCACAGTATGCAAAAAAATAAATAAAAATGAAAATTCTATTTTATTTAGTCACTAATTTGGAGCCATATTTAGCCATCTCTCTAATTTTAACTAGGTAATATTTCACTTACACATGAATTAGGAAACATTTGTTGGGTTAGCTCTCGTGGTAACTAGCATAGTCTTATTTAATTCTGAATGTGTATTTTAAGCTCAAAGCAAGGACTTTGTGCTTTATAAATCATTTATGCATCACCTATAAGTTGGTAAGGCTCTCAAATAATGTGGTTTTGCTTGTCAAGAGTACTTTGTGATAAAACATAGAAACAATCTAGTTACCACATATAGAAAATTAAAATACAGAATTTCCAGTCAAATTTGAATTGTAAGTGAATAATATGGGTATAATTTAGTGTAAATATATACCATATATATCTAATATACAATATTTTAGAAACACTTAAACTGGAATATTATTTATTTACTTGACATTCAAATTAAACTGACTACCTTATCTCCAATCAAACAAAAACCAAACCAAATTATGTTTGTTTTTTTAAATTATTAAACAGAACTTTCATCCAGACAGCTAACAAGAACCATAAGGTCTCTTTGAAATTTATCTATTTTCTGTTTTTGCTCACTGTTTGGCTAAGATAATGGACACCAACTTAATGGTTAAAAAGTACTGGCAAGTCAAGTATGTACAATTGTGTCACCTTTCAGGTAAGAGAAAATAGTTACTAAATTAGCAGATTGAAAGGGGATCAAGAGTAAATTCAGAAGAAAAGAAAAGCCTCCTTGCTATTGATGTGTGTGTGTGTGTGTGTGTGTGTGTGTTTGTGTGTATGTGTGTGTGTGTGTGTGTACAATTTAACTCTGGTCTGCAGAAGCGATTTTAAAAAAAGGACATGCATCTGTTAGATATTGCTGTCCAGACCCTGGAGAAATGTCCTTGGAATATTCGCCCTCCAGAACTGTCTGTGAAGCTGATTCTGACAGGTTTGGAGGAAGATAAGATTAGAAAAGCATTGTCTTAAACTCAACTTTTGAAAATTTTCTCTCACTGCTTTCCCAATCTTTTATGTCATAAAGTGCTATTCCAAACTTTTATCTGTCTTTTTGGCATCTGTGAAGCTCTAAAGTTGGGGTAAACATTTATTTAGTGGGCTTACAGTGGCAGCCTATGAAGTCAGAGAGGTCCATTTGTGTGCTGGAAAGTCAGAAGATCCAATTGAAGGTCAAAGGCTTAAAGCTCAGTGGAGATTCCAGTGTGAGCCAAAGGTCTGTGTTGCAAGGCTGAAAGGTCTGCCTGGAAGCCTGATCAAACTGGAGATGAACATCTAAAGGCAATGGGCAATGCTGGAGCTCCTCCAAAGAAGCAAAGGTAAGACTTCCTTCTTTCCCTTTTTATTCTGTTTGGGCTACAAGACTATTGGTTGGTGGCATCCACCTCCAGGGTGAGTCTTCCCTCCTCAGTTTGCAGTCTACAAATAATCATTCACAGACACACCTGGAACTGTGCTCCACTAATCCACTAGGCACTCTTAATCCATTCAAACTGACATATTACAATTAATGATCAAAATCCACCCCTTGTGAACTTGACAACCGGACACATCTTTTTAAACCATATTTAGTCTCCTAATACAATAGCAAGTTCATAATTAACCTGACATGAAACAACTATCCAGCAAAGCAATGGGAATGCACTAACTCTTTCCCCAGAATGGAAGCAAAGTTTTTCTTTGGTTGATGCTTATCAGCAGTATTCATGACAATTATAATCGTCATTCTGTAACTAATCATGTGCTCATAGCTGGTATTTATAACTACCTCTTCTACTACCCATTCTATATTCCCTTGGCCTTCATCAAGCACTTCAGCAGGTCCTGGTTTTTTATCTGGCAGGGTGACCCAGGCCTTTATTCATGAAAGCTCTGGGTCACTTGTAAACCTGCCAGGATTAGGTTGTTGTAGCTTCCTATTGACTTATATAACAGGGTTATGGTAATGCTATGAAGTGCCCTAGGGGTCTCCTGCACTCCAAATATATTTTCTTCCCTCTGTTGTAGAGTAATAGTCTAACTTCCCCTTGGTAGTTTGGATCAGTCATCCCCAGCAACACTGTAACTCCATTTTTAGCTTGTTTACTCAGAGGCATAAGGAACCCAAAATAAACGGGTAAATCTTAGCTTCCAGTTCAGTGGAAGCATTGTTGTGCTTCTTGGTACAAGCCTTCTATCCACCCCTGGAACTAAGCCTTCCAGGCTAGCAGAGCATAAGGTTGGGAGAACAGGAAGTAAAACTTTTGCTAATGGGTCAGTAAGAGTAATAATAAGTGGTACCACTTCCACCTCCACTCGATTCCAGACCAGACTTAGGGAGAATCGGTACCATATAGTGCATGCTGATTCAAAGCATATGAATCCTTCTGGAGAATCTTGCCCCCGCCCTTCAAGATTTGTCACCTAGCTGGATACTGTAATTACATCTTTAAAAGGTCATTCCACCTTTCTCTGAATCTATCTGCTTCTGGATGGTGAGGAACATGGTAAGACCATGAGCATGAGCCCATTGCCTCACTTCTTTGACTATAAAACCTGTGTCTTGGTCAGAAATAATGGTGCATAGAATATCATAATGGTTGATGAGGCATTCTAGAAGTCCACAAAAGATAGTTTCGTCGGGAGCATTATATGCAGGAAATGCAAATCTATACCCAAAGTAAGTGCCTATGCCAGTCAAGACAAAGTACTATCTTTTCCATGATGGAAGCAGTCCAATAAAGTCCATTTGTTACCAGACAAGACTGATTGCCTTGGAGTATATGTCACATCAGGGACACAATGTGTTATCTGCTGCTGTCATACTGGGCTTTTAGCAGTAACTGCAGCCAGATTAGCCTTGGTAATTGGAAAGCTGTGTTGCTAGCCTATGCATAGCTGCCATCTCTGCCACTATGGCCATTTTGTTGATGAACCCATTGGGCAGTGACATTGGAGTGGCCATTGGGGTGGCTGAAGGGAAAGGTTAACTGCTACCCACAAAAAGCTCATCATATCCACTTGATTATTAATATCTTCTCCAGAGGTCACATTTTGGTAAGCATTTATGTGAGACACAAATATATCTTTCATCAATACAGACAGGTCTAGCTACATGCCTAACAAATGTCTGTCACCATTTCTAGTCATTTTCCTTCCAAGTCTCTGACCATCTGATCAGACCATTGGCTATAGCCCATGAATCAGTATATAGTAACAGGAAAAAATGTATGGCCAGGTTTACTGCCTGAAGCTCTGCCCATTGTGAAGACTTGCCTTTACTACTGTCCTTCAGCCATCTCTAGCTCATTCACAATAGGCCATTTTTAAAATCCAGACTTCAACCAGCTAGCTAAATAAACTATTAACACTTTTTTTTTAACTCCACTAGCTCCAAAATTAAATTCTAAATCTCTCTTTAATGGGCCTGTACTGAAAAACTCAGTTTGAGCCAGATTTATGTTTCTTCCAACATTATTCCACACCCTTTAAAATTCATTCCCATATTTGTTATTCAGACCTCTGCTTATAAGAATTAAAAAAAAAACCCTCAAGTTCCTCAGGAATATAGTAAACCTTCTCATGCATCATGCCATATATCTCACCTTTAGGAGCCTTCTGGGATTTGGGCATGGTTATAGGCCTAGGAGCAAAAGATGCGTACTGAGATGCGTCAGGAATGGCACTATTTTTATAGGCAAAACAGCATTACTTTCTTCAAGTATAGCAGAAAAGGCCAACACTATAGGGGTTGGGTTGGAGATACCTCTGCCATGAGGGAGGGAAGTCTTTTCCTCTGGGAAAATAATCTCATCAACATCCAGGAGTTCAGTGTCCCTGGCTTCATCATCTCCATCGTGATATACAAGATTCCATTCTTTTCTCAACAGCACCCTCTTTTCACTTCAGATACCCTTTGAGGCTGAGTGTTAAATGTACACTGTAATTCAGCCAATTGCATTATGAGGTTTGTGTCTGGATTTCTGCAACTTCAGCCCTGTGGCTAAAGGAGAGAAGATTCTTTTTCAGGACATATTTAGAAACCTTTAGAATCTTTATATGTGTCTGGGAATTTGAATCTTTGAACTCTTTATTTTCCTTTATTAATTTGTCTTCACCTTTAGGAAACTTTACATTGTTTATGCATGTCTGGAGCTCATGATTTTCCTTTAGTAGTTTGTCGAGAGCTGCTAAGAGCAATCATTATCCTTACATTTCCCACTCTTATAAACAAGTTCAAAAGAATTATATATAGAGTCACTAAATTCCTTACATTCACAAGTGGTGAATTACACTAATCAAATGGCTCTGTGTTGTATATTACTTTAAACAGTTCATACCATGGATTATCAGTACTTTCCACATTATTAGAAAAAGAGACCATGGCAACTTTGATCTTATTAAATTAGACAGATAACTCCACCATTCTCTAAACGGATAAGAGAAATTTATCCTTACATTTCTATTTCTCTATAACTACCACTTTCAGGACCAAAATTTGTATTAGTTAGGGGTTCATTAGAGAAAGATTCAATATAAATATATCCTTCATGTATGATACAGTATATAAATGTTCACATATAAAATAATATATCAATGTATATTATATATGCATATATATGTATATGATGATATAAAAGATTTACTAAGCAGTCTTACAAAAAAATGGCAGCCTGTGGAATCAGGAAGGGAAGAATACAAAATAGCCATTGGCATACTGGAGATGGAGGATCCAGTTGAAGGTGAGGCCTGAAACTCACTGCAGAGTCCAGTGCAAGTCCATGTCAGAAGCCAAAAGCTTTGAAAGGCTGAAGAATCTGCATTTGAAAGCCTAGTGGTTGGTGCCACCCACATCCAGGATCTTTCTTCTTTGGATTTTGACCTACATGTAAATCATCCACAGACACACCCAAAACTGTTCTTCACTAATCTACCATGTGCTTTTTAATCCATTCAAATTGACCTATCACAATTAATGATCACAGTCATCATAAAAATCAAATGATATTATTCCTGTGAAGTGTTGGGAATATTTCATAGTACTTAGTAAGTGTAAAATAAATGTCAATTATGTCAGGATTTTGATAGTAAGGTGATATTTATCCAGGTAGATGTTCAGTATGGGAACTTATGTGTACACTAGTGACATATAAACACTGGGCCATGATCAGTACATGCTCTATTTTTATTTATTTTATTTTATTTTTAAAATTGTGTTTACTGGTACATTTTAGGTATACAGTACAGTACAGTTACATTCATTATTGGAATCATGTGCCCTTACATGACAGATCTTGGTTCTCATTTTTGCCCCTTGTCCCTGCCCTCTCTTCATGCTCTATTTTTAAAAACAGCTTTATTAAGATATAACTCACTGGAGAGTGGAAAATATTCCAAATCTGGAATATGGGCCAGAATTTAATTAATAGATTATTGGACATGTAAATAATATATTAAGTAAAGATATTGTAAAACACTCAACATTTTGATCATCAAATATAAGTATTCATTTTCTTTTGCTGCTTTTATTTCTGGCACAGAATTTAAACTGGGCAGGCACAGATTTCACTGTTAAACACTGTCAGGCCTTGTCTTCCAGTCTTTTTCATTTCTACCATTAGACTAACAAAGTTACCCTCTTTTGATTACTTGCTACCTGTGCCTCCTCGGCATGGATATAATACTCCCAGATTGCACAAATAGTTTTTCTGTCAGAATGGCATTTCTCATTTTTCCATACTAAGTAATTTTAGCTTGAAAGCACTCAGGATGACTTCCATTATAAGGAAGAAACAAACGAAAACCAAACCAAATGTCTCACAGTTTTATCCCTGTTGGTATTATCCTTGTGTAAACTAATAAAAGTTGCAAAACTTTGCAATCCACTGCCTTCTATTTCCACCTCCACCTACCATTGCCGCCACTCTTCTATATGGCAGAACATTCTAGAAAGGGCTCCTGGGTGCTCAGTTACAGCCATTTAAATCAATTTTTTTAACCTAACTCATATCCCTGAGAGAAGGTGAGCTGTTCTCTGACAGGCCACTTCAGTGTGACAGCTTTAAAATACCAGGAAATTCAGAAATGCTCTCAAAACCTACAGTACTTGGACAATCTTCATTAACATTTTTTAAATTTCTTGTTACATTTTTACTGAAAACATAAATTAATACGGCAAAAGCCTACCTCACTGTACTTCATAGATTTTCATGTACATGAATGACATTATTCACATAAAATCTTAAAAATATTCTAATTTTGAACTCCTCTTTCTTTAACTTCATTTCTAAGACCTTATTTTTTTATGTAATTCCATTACTATTTTAAGCCTCTAATTATT